TAATAATATATATTATATATATAAACTCCAAATAGACCAAACTTAAAAATGTGAAGAATGAAACAAATAGCCTATGAAAACCTGGGTAGGGGCGCCCAGGTGGCTCCATTGGTTAAGCTTCTGACTCTTGGTTCTGGCTCAGGTGGTGATCTCAGGGTCGTGAGATGGAGCAGGGGTCTCGATCAGAGCAATAAGATGATGAGAGTCATTGGTGCTCCTTGGTTGCCCCAGCAGCACCCTGACAAAACTGTTGAGTAGTTTCTATTTTACATCCTCAGAATTGCTCTTTTCTATGTGTAGGGTTTCAGCCTTCCTTTCATCTTCTAATCCCCATCTCCTTAATTCCTTCCAGTAAATTCCCCTCTTGTTTAATTTAGCCAGCCAGTTTTGGTGCTTGCAGCCAAAATACCCTGAATGATATATATGCTCCTGAGTGTTAATGAGCTTGTAATTGGAACAGGGGAGGAAAAGGCAAGAGAAGAAAATTTGGTCCTCATCTATTATGATTTTCTTAAATTCTTATTTATCAGCTTAGGCCATTCATTTATTCACTCAAGAAATATTTATTGAGATAAATACATCCCAGGCACTATGCCAGGGATACAACGGTGAGAAAAATCTGCTCCTTCATGGAGCTTATAGTACAATGAGGGAAATTAATATTAATAAAATAATCACCTCAAGTATGAAATTCCAACTATAGCAGTGTGGTAAATGAGAGGAATATGGTACCATAGGAGGAAATCAAAGGGACATTTGATTCACAGGTATTGTTTAATATAATACCAGAGGTCTTGGTCAAAGCTATAAAAGAAGAAAATAAGAGACATAGAGGTTGGAAAGGAAACATCATTATTTGCAGGCCATCTGTATGTAGATCACTTGTATAGAAAGGATAAAAAAGCAAAATAAAGAGATTCATAGAAATAAACAAGGCCAACAAAAGTTTGCAGGTAGAAAGAGAATCTCAAAATCAGTAGCATTTTTCTCAAATAGCAATAACCAGTAGGAAGAAAATGATAGAAACAACAACAAAAAAACAACAAAAATAAAAACATTTCTGGAAATTAATTTATCAAAAAATTTGCAAGACTTCAATAAAGAAAAAAACTATATCAAGGAAATAATTCAACATTTAAATAAATGAGAAAATAGTCCAGGATTCTGGATGTGACAGCTTAACATTGTAAAGGTGTCAATTGTTGCCAAATCAACAAATACCAATGATCACAAACCACCTAGGAGAAAGTGTGGACTCTGATCCTAGTAATTTAACAAATCTAGAAAGTTAAATTTAATATAAAATATAGTAGTGATATTATGAAGAAGATTCAAAATCAGTTCCTAAAATTACATAAAAGTCTGGTAACAAGAAATAGCATTGTGAAATATTGATGTGACCCCTATTTTTATTTTTAATATCTCAACTCAAATATCTCAAAGAACTCCAAAACAGTTGATTTCCTTTGTCCATTTTTGGATTTCTCTGTGGATTGACTTATTGAATCCAAAGCAGGAGTTCCTAGTGATTTCATGAATTCTTCATTAATAATTGTATTAAACTTCTGAACTTCCTTCATAAATCCATGTTCATTAGTCATTGTTGGGATACCCAATTATTCTTCCTTAAATTTAATTTTTTTGGAATTGCTTACATATTCACATGGTACAGAATTCTAATAGTACAAGGTACATCCAATGAAAGATCTCTATCCCATCTCTGTCTGCCAGTCACTCAGTTCTTCTTCCTAGGGTCAACCAACATTATCAGTTGAATTTCTTTTTCTCCTCTCTTTTGAGGAGGGTAGTGGCAATCCACACATTCTCTTCTTTACTGTGTTTTTTTTTTTCCACTTAAAATATATATCTTGGAGATGATTCTATGTCTATATATAAAAGCCTTCCTTGTTTTTTTATAGATGCCTACTATTCCATTGTATAGATGTATCTTAATTTATTAAATCAGTCCCTTCTGATGGACATTAAGTTGTTTCTAATCCTTTGAAAATAAAAACAATGAAAATGAAAATATATGTCATTTTGTTCATGTGCAACTAGATCTCTAGGATAAATTCCTGGTAATAAAATTGCTGGGCACAGGGTATACTGGTTTATCATTTCAACAAGTATAGCTTAACTGTCCCCTGCTGAGGTTGTACAAATTTAAGCTCCCAGAAACATGTTAGAGTGATTGCTTTACCATACTTTATGGGCATTTGCTCATTTGAGAGGTAAAAACATCCCAGGGCAGTTTAATCATCTTATTATGTAAGGATGAGTGTCTTCATATATTT